GTATTTAAAAATATTTTTTTTTAAAAAAGATTCAAATTTTTTATAACTTTGAAAAAATTAGATTTTTGAGAATTTTTAAAAAATTTTTGACTTTTGAAAATCAGATTTTTTTATATTTTTAAATATTTTGGAAATTTTGAACTTTTTCTCAAAGCGCTGCTTTAGCTGCGTAGAGACAAAATATCGAAGCGTCGCAGCCTCACGGATAAACATTGTTACGGAACCCATAGAAATGCGAACAATTTTTTTTTTATTATTAAAATCTCTATAAAATATCTGACAATTTAATGTTTATATGTCTAATTATAATTTCTGACCGTCAAATGGCATTTTTTTACATTTACATTAGCCTTTCCAAAAATTTTATACCGGTTTTTTCATTTTTTAATAGAAATAAAATGTTTTTTGAATCATTCAAATCGGACGTTCCATCATCTCAAAAATTGGATTGCCATTTTTGGCTCTTTTTCCGTATCTTTGCTTTTGCCAAAAACTAATCAGCACGGTCTCCCCGTCAATACGAATCATACACATACACATAAATTTTTTCTAGAGTTTAGAAAGCCAAAATGTTTAGAAGGCTTTGAAACGTAAAGATATATAATAATTTTCATTTTTGATTTTTTCGCGAAGCTTAACCCCCTGGAAGTTAAAAATCACGAAAGAACTCAGTTAATACGATTAATTTTTTTAAAAGTGTGACCGTTGTCGGTGATTTAAGTTGAGCGCTTGGTTGGAACATTAGGTTTGACACTTGATTAATTAATTAATTTAGTATACTCTTTGAGGCAAGAACCATATTTTTCAGTTAAACCGTATAATTTTACGAGTTGAAAATTTCGCTCCCATACAATATAAATATATCGATTTCGAAATATACTATGCTATGTTTCAAAATAATTAAAGAGTGAAATAATTGATGAAGAAAATCAAATTTGTGTTGAATTAATAATCAGACCTAATTTCAACAATCTTCAGAATTTATACCTATTTCCTTTGGGAAGAATGTTTATCATATTCTGTTTTGTTCTGCAAATGCACATAACGCAACATTGAGCACTGCGTTTTGCAGCACTTTTTTCATAATCTCAAAAGGCAGTTGAAGTATCCATCTATTTACTGTTCAGATGCGCTAAGCACACACTCAGATATTTTATATATATATATATATATATATATATATATAATATATATATGTTTATATATATATATATATATATATATACATAATATATAATATTTTTTATTTCAACGATTGGCTTTAAATCAACATTAAAGATATGTCTCAACGTCAAACAAAAAATCTAAAGCTTATATATATATATATATATATATATATATATATATATATATATATATATATGTATATGGCGCAAATGGGCCATTCCATATTAAATAAATATAATTTGAAATGAAATAGTTTGTGTCATATATATATATATATATATATATATATATATATATATATATATATTAATAGGTAAGTCCTGGATATTTTCAATTATTGATTGTTTCTTTTCCGAACAGTAAATCCAATAAAAAAAACAATTTGTTTTTTGAAGATGTTCAATAACGACGTTTCGGAACTAGATACGCTCCATCATCAGGTTTATTCTGTCAAAGACAATGTTTCTTAAAACTATTGATTAACATTAATTAATGATGGTTATTACTGATTATTTAGAAAAATTATAAAGGAATGGATTATGTTATTAAGGAATTAAGTTGTTAAGGAATCATTATTAAACATCTTCAAAAAACAAATTGTTTTTTTATTATTGGATTTACTGTTCAGAAAAGAAACAATCAATATATATACGAGGTCTGTTCAAAAAGTACCCGGAATTTTCGTTTTTTCAAAAAAATATTTATTTATTCGTCTACATTAATGTGGTCCCCTTCAAAGTAGTCCCCCCCAGATATAATACACTTATGCCAGCGTTTTTTCCAATTTTCGAAGCACCCTTGATATTCACTTTTTGATATGTCCTTGAGCACTCTCAGCGATTCGGCCTTTATTTCTTCAATCGAGGAAAACCGCCGTCCTTTCATGGGTCTCTTCAACTTTGGGAATAGGAAAAAGTCACACGGAGCCATATCTGGTGAATTTTTGCACTTTGCAACACTTTATTTCATTTTTTACGCAAAATTTAATACAAATTCTTTGGCTTTTCAATTCTTCCATTGTAAAAATCGCCGAGCTCAGAAAAAAACACGTCGAACCTTAGCGACTACCACAGACAAAGTAAACAGTGAATATAGCTGAAAATTTCATCATACTTTAGGGGCATGTATACCAACACAATAAAAAAAAAATTTGACAACAGATCACTCCAGACCCGCGAAATTTAATTATTAGTAATTCCGGGTACTTTTGAACAGACCTCGTATATATATATATATAATATATATTAATGTTTATTGATTAACATTAATTAATGTAGTTATTACTGATTATTTAGAAAATTATAAAGGAATGGATTATGTTATTAAGGAATTAAGTTGTTAAGGAATCATTATTAAACATCTTCAAAAAATAAATTGTTTTTTTATTATTGGATTTACTGTTCGGAAAAGAAACAATCAATATATATATATATATATATATTATATATATATATATATATATATATTTATATATATTTGGTTTTAACTATGCACTCGTCGAGCGATAAATACGCTTAATATTAAGGCATTATGTGCTCTTAATTTTCTCTCTTTATTAATTATTATTAGTTGTGTTGTTGTTATGCACAAGTTTAGTGTTTAATAAATTTTATATATTTTTTGAGGTTTTCCTGGTTTGATTACTGAATGATGACACACATTAAGTGTCGAAATGTTAATAGAATAAAGCATTTTTCTATTTTAACCATATTTTAATTCGACAATTGGGCTGCTAATAGGGTATTTGATAATAGCAAATATAATAAAATCATGAATCATAAAATAATATAGTAAACATATATATATATATATATACATTCTTTATTTACTTATAAATAACAAAATAAATAATTACTTAACAGTAAATTATGCTCTATTATACTCAGTAAGTCTCTTCTACATCACAATTTTCAGATTCATGACCAAATTCTGAAAAACAAAAAAATAATTAATTAATAGATGTTAAACTATTTGCAATGAACTTACGTTAGTACAATCTTAATTTTATAACAGATGATTTGAGTTGAGAAAAATATTGAATTTTTTCGTAAAATCCTTACCTTCGCAAATTTCACAATAAGGTCGCGGTGGCGGTACAGTCCTGGTTTGCGTTTTGATAGGACTGTCGGTATCCTGTTTGGGACAATCTTCAGTGTCATGAGCGTCGAATTCCTCGCAAATATCACAGTATAATCTTGGCGTCGGCATCTTTTTACTCTTCATGCACCTAAGTAATTATAACATATCAACTAACCAATCAATTCAAAACTCAATATTCATAAAAACACAACAAAAACTGATTTTTAACACTATACAATTTTAATTTTAATAGTACTACTTACAACAATTCAGGGTTAAAATTACCGCCTTCCAATACATCTATTTTACTTTGCAATTCACTCTGCCTGTGCTGCATATCAGCGATTATGGAATTTAAAAACTGAACTTGACTGTCCAAAAATAACTCATTTTCGGATTTGGAGTTATTGTTGTCGACCTTTGTTCGAATAAATATTTATGTTACACAAATGTTATATATATATATATATATATATATATATATATATATATATATTTAATATATACATATATTAAATGTTAAATATGAACAACTCAACACTCAGAATTTTACACACACTTTAAATAATTACAGACGTTTCGAAATCATGGTATACCTCATCTTCAGCATAATTTCAAAACTGTAAAAATTATATACTAATACATTATTTAATATCTTATTAACTTCCCGTAGGACAAGTTATAGTAATCGCAAAAAAATCGAAAATGAAAATTTTTATATATATTTACGTTTCGAAGGTTTCTGAATATTTTGGCATACCTTAGAAAAAATGGATGTATGTGTGTGTGTTTATGTTTATTTGTGTGTGTGTGTGTAGATATGTGTGTGTGTGTGTGTGCGGATACAAATTTTCGTCGACGATTTCGGGAACACCGATCAACCGATTTCAATAATTCAAAAAACATTCGATTCCTATTGATAAGGAGACGTGCTGATTAGTTTTTGGCAAAGGCAGGTCTAACCGTTCCGAAGATACGGGGCAAAAAGTGCCAAAAATGGTAACTCAGTTTTTAAGAGAAGGGAGTGTCTGATTTTAATAATTAAAAAAACTATTTACTTGTATTGACAAGATGAAGATTTGATCAAATTTTCATAAAGGTCTAGCGGTTTCGGAGATCTAGTGAAAAAAGTGAAAAAAATGCCATTTGGCGGTCAAAAATGATCATTACACATATGCACATCAAATTATTAGATATTTTACAGAGATTTTAATAATAAGTATAAATTTTGTTTACATTCCTATAGGTTCCGTACCAATGTTAATCCGTTAGACGGCGACGCGGCGCTTACGCGCTTTGACATTTCGTCTCTATGCTGTTAAAGCAGTACGTTTGCTTTGAAAAAAAGTTCAGAATTTCCAAAAAAGGTCAAAAAAAAATATTTAAAAAAAAAAAAAAAAAAATTGTCAAATTTATAGTTTCTCAAAAATCAAATTTTTTCGAAACAAAATTTTTTCAAAAATGTTAATAGTTTTTAAAAAAAATAATAATTTTTGGTACGGGAAGTTCCAGCAATTTGCCTTAAAGCACGATGCCATGCGCCCCACTAGTTTAAATTATATTTAATTTTTAGAACAAAAACACCAAGTTTCTCTTACAATGCTGGTAACACCGTACTAAATATGTGAATATATACAAAAGTACGCTTGTGGATCACGCTAATGTCAACAACCATAAGTTGGATTTTGATAATCCTCCAATCGTATTGTATGAAATTTGTAACCTTTTTTGTTTACTATTTTCATTCATTTACCTTATTCTCTTCAATAAACAAATCTGTTTTCACATTTGTTGATGCTATGTACTCCTTTTGTTTACATTATAATAATATCCATCTTTGTCCCTTCATCCTCGACACTTATGATTTGTTTTCAAATATTTCTAAGCATTGTAAGAGAAAGTTGGTGTTTTTGTTTTAAAAACTAATATGATTTAAATAAAATATTAAATAATGTATTAGTATATAATTTTTACTGTTTTGAACATGAGGCATACCATGATCGCAAAACGTCTGTAATTATTAAACAAAGTGTGTGTAAAAATCTGAGTGTTGTGTTGTTTATTTTTTAACATTTAATATTCGTTCCACTCATATCACAAATTCTATAATATATTGGGGAAGTACGGACAAAATGACATGGTGTTTTCTTTTTAATGATGATTTTATTAATTTAATGATATCATAATCAGTCTCAATCGTTTTTAATTATCTTACACTCATTGACTACCAGTAAGATAGACTTTTTATTATGTAGGAAATATAATAATATATACATTGAGAAAAAATGCAACTAATTACAAACATCATTTTGTGCATATAGTACGAACAAAATGACATATATGGTAAGGACATAATTAGAACAAATTTTTAGACAAAGGCAGTTCACCAATAAATCGTTTGGTTTTCATTAGGAACAAATCATACATCACACAACAAAAGAGGTCTTTGCAATAAATGCAAGTCTTTTCTTTTTACTGGTTTATTTTTTGGTCTTTTTTTAGAAGTAGTTAAAGTAAAAGTTACAAGCCAATCACCTTTGATAGGTTTGAATTTTCTCCTTCCTTAGCCTCGAATGAACTACCCTGTATATAGGAAATATATATATGGTATATATATTATTTACTTGGTGTTACTGCCTGAATCAAAATAACTCATCAAAATATATGTATATATATATATATATATATATATATATATATATATATATATACAGTAGAACCTCGATTATCCGGACCTCGGTTATACGGATTCGCGATTATCCGGACATAATCGCGTCGGAACTTGCATATTCTGATGTGCGTATATACATTAATACATTCTCTGTTTTGACGTGCATATATACATTTTTAAAGGGTGGTGTTATCCCTAAATATTATAGAATCATTAAAAAAGGCGAATCCGACCGTAAGTTAGCTGATAGGTATGGTGCAGTGTAGATACATCCACTATAAGCGATATTAAAAAGAATGCCGCTTCAATTTTGTCGTACACTTTAGATAGTAAAGAGGGTAGTGAAAATCGGAAAATGGTGAAGAGACCGAAAAATGAACTCTTAGAAGAAGCTCTATATTGTTGGTTTTTACAAAAACGATCAACAAATTATTTGTAAGCAACTTTTCTTCTTCATTGATACTTTACGTACCACCTGAATTATTTTACCTCATGTTAATATTATATAATATGTATAACGTAATCTAAGAATATATGTAAGTGTTAATTTTCTAATAAACATCGATTTTTGTTGATATCTATGTATGCATTTGTTATTTTTGATAAACAAAAATTTATTATTCATAATTTGGACTATCCGGATTTTCGATTATCCGGATGCCTATCGACAACAATTAGTCCGGATAATCGAGGTTCTACTGTATATATATATATATATATATATATATATATATATACATATGCGTGTGTGTGTATGTGTTGATATGTCCACAAATCAAACTCTTTGCACTCGTATGCCGCCGTTTCGAGTTAAACATTAATTTAATATAGAAAACTTACCGTGGGCACGGAGTCTCCAGGATCAATACTGCTATGACTCCTTAATTCCAAAAGCTCATTTTCAAGATTTCTATTTTTGTTAGAAGCTCTTGCAATTGTTTCTCAGCATTTTGCAGTTTGTTCTTATTTGATTCTGCTGCTTTCAATTTTCCTGTGAGCTCCACAATTCTAGGTATTTAATTAAAATAAAAATTAGAAAAAAAATATTGAAGCATTTAATACAAATGCTAATTTCTGACATTGTTCTCATAACTTATAATTTAGAAAAAAGATTATTTAGTATATACTAATTTAGTACTATGTAGTCCCAATTTACATCTAAAAAGTTTACATATTTTTTAAATAATTCAGCTTTAAAAAAAAAATAAAAAATTATCAATAAGCTGCTTCCACAGATCGTAAATTTGCAGAAATATTAGTTTAAATTTTTTTCTTTAGTTAAATTATAACAAATTATTAAATTAATTAATAACTATTAAAAACCATTAATACCTGTTTTGCAATTGTTCTTTCTCTAAATTTGAATCTCTTCTCAATTGACTAATTTCTAATTCTAAAAGTGTCAGTTTAGGAGTAAAACATGACTCTTTCTCAGCTGTTAGCATAGCTGCTTTTTCACTACTACATGCTAGTCTTTTATATAGTTCGGGTATTAATTTTTCTTTTTCTTTCAGAGTATTCTTTATAAAAGCAAATTCAGATAATTGATTTTGTAAGTCATCATTATGCTGCTGCAAGGAACCTATTTTATTATTATTATTAGTTAACTCTGTTTGTAATGCCTTTATTGATTGATTTTGTTCGTCATTAATTTGAATTAACTTCTCATTTTTTATATTCATTTCTTGAATCTTATTATTCAAGTTATTCAAAAATCGTTGATGTTCTTCTTGGGACTCTTTTAACTTATTATCATATTCTAATTGCTTTGCTGTCAATTTAGCGGATAATTCACTAGCATGCTTCGATTCTAATTCGGCAGAAACTTTCTTAAGTTCATTGATCATTACATCTTTCTCATTTAGTTGGTTCCTTAATTCCTGAGATACTTTTTCACTATTTGTACCAAATGATTCTAATAGTTTTTTCAATTCATTAATTTCCATTATTGATGTTTCTACCTCTTTATGTAATTTAGATTTTTGTTCTTCATCTACATTGTGTAGTTGCTCAAGACTTCTGTTTTGATTTTCCAAACCCTGAATGGTATTTTTGTTGCTTTGTAAATTTTCTTCTAATTTAGAAATATGGTCGTATTTCAACTTCAACTCATCTTCTTTTTGCTTTAAAACTTTTTCAAGTTCCATTTTCTCCTCATTCAGCACGTTGATGTTGCTTGTTAACTCACTAACATACTTTTCATTGTTTTCCTTTGTAGCATTCTGAATTACTTCTGACTCTGTTTTATGCTTCTGTAGTTCATCTATTTTTTGTTCAAATTCAACTCGTAGTGAATTTAGCTCACACTGACTTTGTTTTAAATCCTCCTCAAGTTTTGTTTTTTCTTGTTGCATTGTTCTGATATGTTTCTCAGTACTCTCCTTTGTAGCATTATTCATAGTATCAATTTCCAATTTTTGCTTCTGTAATTCTTCCAATTTCTGTACAAATTCAATATTTTGCGAAATCAGCTCATCTTGCTTAGATTTTGCTTCCATCTCAAGTTTACTTTTTTCTTCCTGTAAAACACTAATGTTATTTGACAAATCATTAATTTCTTTTGCAGTTCTTTCTATAGTAGTTTTTTGCATGGTTTCTACTTCTGTTTTTTGTTTCTGTAATTCATTAAACTTTCCTTCTAAATCCGTTTTCTGTTTTATAAAATCTGCTTTTTCATTTTCTAAAACTTGAGAAAGTTCTAACTTCACTTGTTCTGAAGCCTTGAGCTTTTCTTCCAATAGCATGATTTTTTTCTTCCATTCATCAGACTGCAGACTTAATTCTTGCATTAATTGGTGTTTGGTGGATTCGAAGTTGATTTTATTTTCATTTAATGTCTGTTTGGTTGTTTCCAATTCCTGATCCTGAAATTAAACACTACCTTGTAAAGCACATAAAATGCAGAAGTAAATAAAATATCAAAATTGAAAATATTAATGTTTGCATGCATACTCAATAAATATCTATGGTCATTTTTGAAAAATAATAATTTTAAAATCCCAAATTATACATACCTACAAAGTCTAGAAAAAAATATGCTCCTGGCAAATTTATGATAATTACTATTTAAGTATCAGTAGTAAAGATATAGTAATAAAGGTAATCACATAATATTAAATCTTTTTTTCTCGTCCTTCAATATTTTGTTATTATGTATTTTAAAATTTTGCCGAAATAAAATTTGTATAAGAATAATACAAAAAACCAAGCAAAAGCAGAAAAAAAACTTTCACAACAAAAAGAGTTACAAAGCTTAGTAACAAAAATATATTGCACTAATGCAGTTGAATAATGCTGGTTAAAATAATAGGTACATTTCTATTATTCATATAACTATAAATATGCACAATTATCATCTGTGAATGGTATATATTATGATAAAATGTCGAATTAAAATACTTTTTGTTTTATATTTTGCATTATTTCAATGTATGTCAAATTGCCTCATATATATTAATATAGCTTTGTCTAGTTTTACCAACCTTGTTTTTTAATTCTGCAGCCATCTTTACCATTTCTGAATTGGAATCATAAGTATTGCTACGTAATTCTTCCACATCGTTTTCGAGTTTCGATTTTGCATTATTTAAATCATTTACTTTTTCCTGCAAGACTTCTAATTTCCTTAACAAATCTCCACGTTCTAGTTCTAAGGCTGATTTTTCATTTGCTACTTTTTCAGATGCGGTCAGAGAATCGTTCAGATTTTTTATTTTACTTTCCAAATTTTGAATGTTTTTCTGTAAGTTTTCTTTTAGGCTATCAAATTCAGATGATTTCTTTGATAAATTTTCAGTAAGCTGTGAACATTCTAAAGTTTTAATTCGCAAGTTTTCTTCCAAACTCTCTAGTGCTTTTTCCAATGCATCTGTTTTAATCTTAAAAGATGTAAGCTCTGCATCCAATTTGAGCTGTAATGTATCCAGTGATTGTTGCTTTTCGTTCTCCAAGTTTTTATAGTTTATTTTCAAACTATTTATTTCGCTTTCATAATTTCGCTGCAATAGCGAAAATTCTGCGACTTTATTATCCAACTCTTCTTTCAAGCTATGTTCAATTGATTTCATATTTATGTATTGTGATTCCATTGCGCTATCGCGATTAACCAATTCCGATTTCGTATCTTCAACCAACTTATTTAAATATTTTATTTGATCTTCGTTATCAACCTTTAGTTTTTTTAAGTTCTCAATTTCGATAGCTTTGTCATCTATAGTTTTTTCTAAGTGCTGTGCTCTATTACTCAACACTTCCAGTTGGTTTTGAAGAGTTTCTTCTGCAGATTTGGCTTGCGTAACTTTTTCTGTTATTTCAAGATTTTTCATATTCAATTCTGCTTCCATATTCTGAATTCTTGTTTTCAGGATATTTATTTCTTCAGCTTGCTTGTCAAAGTTTTGTTTTTGAGCATCGAGATCTGCTTGCTTTTTACTTATATCTAATCTGAGGCCTGTGTCGCCTTGACTAAGAATTTCATGGGATTTAGAAAGTGCTGAAACAAAACGGGTTACAAATAATGATGCTAAATTGTTTTTGAATGCAAATAAATAAATACTACCTTCTTACAAAAATTTTTTTGAATCGGAATGTTACACCAAATGTATTATTGCTCATTGGAAAGATATTTTAATTTATAAAGAACATAATGTAGATACAGCGCAGTTTGTCGAATAGGAGAATAAAGTAACACATAAATCAATTATTGTTAAAATTCTTAATTCTTAATTGTTAGAATCTTATTTTATAAAGGCTAACTTATTTCAGCCTGAATGGTGATATGTTTGCTTGTGAGCACATTCAAAAACGCTATCGTCAACTGCTATAATTATTAAATAGAATTCTTTAATAATAAATTGACATACTTTCAAGCCTTTGCACTGCATCTGCTAATTTGGATTTAAGTAGCTCAGTCTCTCGTTTGTGTTCAGCTTTCATCGTCTCCACTTCCTTATCCCGCTGTAATGCTTCATTTTCAATGTTATTCAACATTTCCCTTTTGTCCGCTTCTAATACTTGCAGCAACTCTTGAGCCTGCTCCAATTGCCGCTTAAACGTAGTAATTATTTCTGAAAATATTTATGAAAATTATAAATGAATATCTAATATTTCTATATACGAAACATATCGCATGTCAAACTAGCTGCTCAAAAATGAGTACACAGACAAAACTATGACTAGTAGTGCAATTATATTGGAAAAAATTACTAGAATTTCCAGATTTTTAAAGAACTTCAAATATTTTTTTCAAAACAGATAAAAAAATTGAAATTTTTTTATACAAAAACATTTATTTTATTTTTATTATTATAAATAGATAAGAATACGTAGAGACCCAAGATGTTAAAAAAAAAATCGATTATTTATGTTATTAACATTTTTGGTAAGATTAATAAAATGCCGTTATTTACAATATAAATGTATCACTTAATGCATGTGTTTAAATGCCAGGTTATTAAAAAAATACATTCTGCGTTTTTACGAACCGAATTTTCCGCAGAGGTGCCGCTGCTGTATGAGCCAGTAAAACCCCCAAGTATTAATTACATAAAATATCTGATTTCGTACGACTATAGTGTGTGTACACGGACATCTAGTGTGTCTATTTTTGCTTCATTTTTTATCACTCCGAGTTAAATTATTGAGACTTCTAATTTGTTAAAGTAATTTTTGTTATTCAAAAGGGTCGCAACTAATTTTAAAATATATTTTCATTGCTAACGATTAAAAAACATTAAATATGTAGCGAAACAAATACTTAGGCGGCTTGCTGGCTCGTACAGTAGTGCTACTCCTGCGGAAAACACTGTCGTAGTGAAAGGCCTACAGCTCTCATGACATATGCAGTCCAAACATAAAAATAATATCTGTGCTTCAGTTAAACAAATTACATTCTAAGTATTTAAAACTATCTAGCAGCCAGGAGTGAGCATACGATAGATAATCCAAAAATTGATCATCTGAATTTTTTTTTAACATCCCCTCCGCTTCATGCTCTAAAATCCTGACTACGCCAATGGTTGCATGTAAAGATAAAATATATTAGCTACTCTCACCAGCTTCATTGCCGCCACCAGGACTAAGAACTTTCGATGTGTTTAAAGCTTCTGTGCGAAGACTCTTAATGAGCGCATCGCGTTCACTCAACATTTGCTCCAGCTCAACAATTTTGTCCGAATTACTCTTGTTCATTGCCTGTCATTAAATATTTATTAAATACCACATTATCTTGTAAAATTAAATGCTAACCCGATGAACAATCAGAAATCTCAAAAATTATTTTTAGCTAGAAAATAATATCTAAAAGAGATGAAAGTAAGAAAAAATAATTATACTATAAAACTGGTTAAAATAGACTATTCTATAAGAAAAATTACTCAGAGATATTAAGTCTTGCAACAATAATTTAAATGTGACACAAAATGTTCTCAAGATTAAAGACAAAAATAGTACAAAATGTAATACATTCAAAATGCCTTGAAATTCCAAAAAGTGTGAACGTTGAATTAACTGCTGTGAATAAAAATGAATTATTTTATAAGTAAATTGCTGAACTTGCATGAAAGAATGTGGGGTTGAAAAACAGAAAACCGAGTCGTACAACCAGAATGATTTAGAATTATTTTCAATAACATCTCATTAATGATAAATCATTGTTTTATATAAATGAAATAAAAATTATTTAAATAAAGAATTCTATGCAGTTTTAAAGCATAAGCAAATTTTGAGTACTATTCATGTTTTGAAAACTTAAATATTTATTAAAGTACTGGTTTCCATTCATATTTTAAAACTTGAAAACTGTATGTTGATCAACGGATATCTGATAAAAAATAAATTCCTTATTTCTGATACTCTCTGAGAGTTTAGTACAATAATTACAAACTACACAAGTGATTGAATAATTATCAAACATGCCACATTTCAACAAAATTAGTAATATTAGATTTTTAAAATAGAAAAAATAGTGAAAATTATTAAGAAAAAAAAACAATGATAGGTATTAACTTCCATAATTATGCAGCACAAAAGTAGTCTGTAAAGAAGTATTATAACAATGTAATGTATATTTGTTTATATCAAAAAATCTTCTGAACAGATCACTTTATTCACAAAAGTAATTGTCTGGATTATCCATAGTCTGCAAATCGGGCATAATATTTAGAAGCCCTTCATTTCCTGATGTCTTAAATATAAAAATTACTACTTTGTTTTGTGCAATTTTCAAATTATGTAAATAAATTATCTTATATAATTGCAAACTAAATACGACTGTCATACAGGGCCCTGTATAGCTATTACAATTATGGCAAATATTTACAGTAACATTTTTTATAATGTTCCATAAAATGATTTGAAAAAAGTATTGTGAATACTTCTTGCGGTATGAATTACCTATGATTTACCCACAATGAAATGCATCTAATTATTATTATCTAGTAAAGTCTGAAATACAAAATTATCTATCCCAAAATGACAACGCATTTAGCGCAGCTTTCCAGGATAATAAAAGTAAGTAGACTAAACAAATTAAATAACTAGGCTACTATGAATATTAATATAATTATAGGTATGGGAACAGGAATTTGCATAACATACAAAAACGGTTGAAATCATGCTGAAGACAAATGTACACAATTATAAATGCAAATAAATTGACAGCACATAAGGAACAACACTATAACACAAATAGCTTTTATTTGAAGTTACTTACTATGTGCTCATCATTTATTGTCTGAAATACAAAGTCTTATATCAGTACTAATTCTCAATTTTATAATTTTTTTTCTTATCTAAAGGAAAAGGATTGTCAATTAAGATTCGGTATTAATACTAATTACTAATCACTACTATATAAATTATATATAGAGTATAGTATATACACTATACAAATAGCAAAAATGCCCATTAATAAAACAAGAGTTTAGCTTTATCTTTAAGTTATTTATTTAACGCCGTTTTCTAAAAGAAGAATTTGTAAATATGAGAAAATTCTTATACTGATCTTTTTAAGAATAAAGTTTGTAATACTGAATGTTAATAACGTAATTTTGATTGAACAAATAATATGTTTATTTTACTGAAGATCAAACCCTTTGCATGGATAAAATACTTCATTTTTCCAAAATTATATTTATGTAAAACATAATAAATAATTGAAACTTACCGACAAATCTTCTTTATAGATAGTTTGTTCTAGGACATTAAATTGCAGATCTTCAGCTTTTTGTGCTTCATCTTCTACCTGGTTTTTAAGTCGAAAGTTCTCCTCTTGCAGCATCAACAAATTTTGTTTTAACTAAAAAAAGAGTGTATAATATGTGATGCAACAAATCCATTATTCGAAATACATAAATAATATATAAATATTTAGATTCATTTCAAGTTTATTTCGTTTCCATCTTTGTTTTGTTTATATATATATATATATATATATATATATATATATATATATATACATGCATACATTATATATGCATATTTGGGTGTGGGTCATTAATAATTGCCTTCTACATACATCTACGTCGGTTGGACAAAGAAATTAAACAAAAGGACTCAATAATTATGCGGCCAAATACAATTGTATCATCTTATGTTAAGTAATATATAACTACAAGCAAAAGAGTTCCTCTCACCCTTTCGTTTTCTTTCCTAGCCTGAGAAGCAAGAAGCATTGCTTGATCAGCTTGAGTTCTTTCGTCTTCTCTCTCTTTAAGCAATTGTTCCAAATGATGTTGCTTTTCTTTCAACAAATCCTGCAATATATATATATATATATATATATATATATATATATATATATATATATTGAATGTTGATTTTCAGCCAATCATCGAAATAAAAGAAAGCATAAATATAAAATATTTTTTTTATACTTTTCGACACGGATTGTGTGTCAACATTCAGCAACCCTTTTTGAAATTTTTGTTACACGGTATCTAAAAGAATTTTTACAAAGTTTAAAAAATTGAATTTTAAATTTAAAATATATTATAGATTGATGTTTTCTTTTATTTCGACGATTCGCCCAAAATCAACGTCTCAACGTCGAACAAAAAATCTAAAACTTATATATATATATATATATATATATATAATATATTTAGGTATATATATAATTTATAATGATGTTCCATGATGTAATGGTTAAGCTCACGGACTCGTGTGAACGATGTTGTGGGTTCGAACCCCGCTTTGGACAACCCTACATCGTGCAGTACCGATGTCCATTTTCACTTTTAAATATAGATAAAGATATTCAATTGATTTCCTTCACACCTGCATTGCAATGCATTGTTATCTTAATATATATTTTTATATTATTTTGTCTTCTGTAAAAATCGGTCGAGCCGTTTCTTATTAAATACGATAAGGCCTATTTTTTCATAAAATTTCTCAGAACATCATAAACCTATTTGAAAAATTCGTAGTTTATATTCGAAGAAGAACAAGTATAAATCGTGTTGATTAAATTATGATGAATGTCTTTTAAAGCATTTCTTTTAATTTTACAGCTAAAAAAATTGTTGGTCACAGTTGTAAAACGAATCAAATCTACATCGAGCCTTTGTAGTAAACAGATAACAATTTTATTATTTGTACCAAAATAAGATGGAGAAATTTTAAAATATCTAATTATGCTTGAAATCAGTTAGACACCACATTAATTAATATTTATTTCGTTGATTATATTTAAGCAAAAGTCCGTTGAACTGTTTTTAACAGTTAGTTGCTGCCTTTCAAATATTATAATTATTGTTGGTTTGTATAATATAACCTGTTTTTTATTACAGATCCATATATATAAGCTTTATAAAGATTTTTTTCATTGAATCGATCGATACACAATAACGTTGATTCGTCACATTTATAAATTTATAGATACATCTTTATAGATTTAAAAATGTATATATGCGTATAATATATACATGTAAGTGAATATATCATGAGTAAACATATAGACAACATACAAATATATAAACATATTGAAAGATAAACTGGTCATATTATATATAAATATATATATATATACGAGGTGTGTTCAAAAAGTACCCGGAATTACTAATAATTAAATTTCGCGGGTCTGGAGTGTCTGATTGTCAAAATTTTTTTTTTATTGTGTTGGTATACATGCCCCTAAAGTATGATGAAATTTTCAGCTATATTCACTGTTTACTTTGTCTGTGGTAGTCGCTAAGGTTCGACGTGTTTTTCTGAGCTCGGCGATTTTTACAATGGAAGAATTGAAAAGTCAAAGAATTTGTATTAAATTTTGAGTAAAAAATGAAATAAAGTGTTGCAAAGTGCAAAAATTCACCAGATATGGCTCCGTGTGACTTTTTCCTATTCCCAAAGTTGAAGAGACCCATGAAAGGACGGCGGTTTTCCTCGATTGAAGAAAATCGCTGAGAGTGCTCAAGGACATATCAAAAAGTGAATATCAAGGGTGCTTCGAAAATAGGAAAAAACGCTGGCATAAGTGTATTATATCTGGGGGGGACTACTTTGAAGGGGACCACATTAATGTAGACGAATAAATAAATATTTTTTTGAAAAAACGAAAATTCCGGGTACTTTTTGAACAGACCTCGTATATATATATATATATATGTGTGTGTGTGTGTTAAACTCCAACTCGATTCAAGGAAGAATAGTGCGAGAGATTTCCCATCGCCATTTCACAACGCAGTGCCCGAGATGGGCTTATTTTCAAATGAAAACATATTTTTCATCTACATTTCCAAGTGAAAATGGACATCGCTACTGCACGACGCATCGCGTCCCTATTCAGTCAGCGCGTCAAACCGCTCGACCACGGAAACCCTTACACACACACGCACATATATATATATATATATATATATATATATACATATATATATAATAACATAATTTAATAATAAGTGCCAAGGAATACCTATTAAACTGATTAACCCCTTAACTTACGATTTAGATTCGAAAACATTAGGTTGTACAAGCTGGCGCAGCGTTTGTGACTATTTTCTCACACAGTATACAGATTATCACAAAAATAAAACTAATTTTGTTTTTCATAGTTTTGTATAAATAAATATTTTGTAATACTTGCGATCGCCGTACCGGGGCATGCCCGTAATGCGTAATTTTTTCTTCTGGCCTCATAATCGTACGCGGGCTATGCCCGTAATATTTGAACTTGGCCTAGCCAACGTACACGGGCTCTGCTCGTCATTGTAAGTTAAGGGATTGTAAGCATCGATCTGATGATTATTACAAATTTTAAACATTTTAAGATAATCGCTAGCCAAGCCATCATGCGCTGCATCTATACTATAGAATTGGTGGTGAAGAATAAATAGATAGTTTTCTTCCAATCTTCATTTGCGCTACATCGTATACTTAAGTTAGTACGTACTTTTGTTAGCATTAATTTGGTACGCAAATTATGGCACTTTCATATATATATTGTGAATAAGTACAGTTTTGTTAAAATCCATACCAATATTTAATTTCCATACTAATAATAATTGAGCATATAAGTGCTTCTTGCAGTGTGAATATCTCGAGTAAATTACTCATACGTTTGCAGACTGCAAAAGTTTTAGCAAGTACAAAAATGTACAGTCTTTTTGATAATTTTCATATTTTAATATTTACACACGTTGAATGCTATAGCATAAATGTCATTCTGCATCATTATAAAAATGAATGCTATAGCGTAAAAAGCCTACAATTATTAAAATAAAATTGTTCTTTGCATGTGTAACTTATAATTTTAGGCGCATGTGTACGCAAGTCTTGCAACGGTGTTTTGAAAATTTCTACAAATTCAAATTTATACTTTCTTTATAATAGCAATTGCCAACTTATACGGCTTTGAGAAATATTGTTCGCCATAATACTAGTTGAGCCACACGGTAATTTCCATGGTATAGTATTTCAAGTCTAACAATATATCCATCTTTCGATGAAAAAAAATTTTTCACTCATCTTGATTTATGATATCAATTTCATAGTCATATCCCTAAAATACAATGAAGTTGTGCCAAAACTTCTTTGCTAATCTCCGCTCTTAAAAGAAAGTGGAGAAAAGTTAGTGCTGCCCGATTTATATGTGTAGTGGTGGTTTAGCCACTAAACTTTCTTGTAGGCAACGATTGACAGGATGATAATGCTTTATATATTATTTGTTCACCATTACTGACATTTATTTCTTGATTCTCGCGATTAATAACCGCCACGCGACAAAAACTATAGCTATACTTACATAGGTTACCCACAATCAAGGTAATATTTCAACAATAAGCAAATATATATAAAAAATAAATGAAAATGAGTAATAATGAAATAAAACCTGTACAACGTTTACATTACATATATATATATATATATATATATATATATAATGTATATATATACACATATATACTATATATACAAATATAATTTACATTTATAAATAATGCCTAAATAAATATAGTACAGTAGTGATCATGCAGTTGGCAGTGGCCAACATGTTCTAGTTCTAGATTCCACTTCTCGAACTAACTTGTAAGCTAAAAATTAGCATATAATAATACATGAGTGCAAATAGTAGATCCATGCAGAACATGAACACCTGCAGCAGTATTCTCGCAAGTGTATATTTCTAGAGATACTAGAATAATTATTTAAACAACTGTTAACAGAATATTTATTCACAAAAAATTAGTAAATATGTTTTATTAAAAATAAATATTATTAAACCAAAAATAAATATTTACTTAAAATAGCTTGAATCATATGATCATAAAAATAGCACATGTGCAACTTGTATAAATGTTATTTAATGTAAAATAAATATTCTTAGAGTCAAAGATAAAACACTAAATTAAATTAGCAGAGAAAATAAATCAAAGATTAAATTATTGTAACACGCACACAGCTTAAATTTTGATCTACCAAAATATGTTTGATTTCACAACAAAATTCGTCATATTTATATATGTATACATAAATGCACGAAACATATACATATTGCATGCTTAATCAAACAAATACATACATATACATATGTAAATAAGTAATAAATTACACAAAATAATTTGCAAATAGTACATTGCTTTCATTAGTGGAATTTAAAACCATACAAATAATTCTTAAGGCAACAACACATTTGGTGAAAAATGTTTTTAATGACCTTTTAATTTACTATTGAAGATAATAATCATCAGAGATACAATATATTATATAACTCCATCATACTGCTATTTATCTGATAATTAACTATAGGTAGGTTACATCCTTTAACTACTATGCTACCATGTATATATAAAATGAAGTATTTGTAGATGAATTTTTTAAAGCATACATTCAATTTTTATTATATGCCGTAATAACAACGTTTAAAAATTGTGTTTTTAAATGTTATTACTTAATGAAGAAACATGCATAGATAAGCCCAACATATATAAATGCGGTGTGAAACAGCAGAGTCAAAATATGCAGATATAATTAAAGATCCGCCGCCTTCTACGAAGTTTCCAGAAATCCTGGTTATGAATCGTATAGTAAATAATAGCGCTGGTGCTGATTTTTAAAAATAAAATTTGCAGAAAAGCCGCAATCGAGTTTTAAATTCAGTAGAGCTGTTTTCACATCCATTGATTTATGTCAGGTCATAAATCGTTTGAATACGACGAATAAAAACAAATATCAAATATAAAAAAAATTAAATAAGGTTAAGAATATAAATTATAAATTTGATACAACTGTTTAAAATAAAGTTTTTGAAATAATTGATAAATATAAAAAAATACTGTCCTCAAAATTTTAAAAACAAACAAAAACATGTGCCAAACAGATACATTGCATGCTAAATGCAGAAACCGTATGAAAACTATTTCATACATAGCAATAATGTTTAATGACTAAGCCAATATCAATTCATTTAACCTTTAATCTAAAACCATTCTTTTGTCGGATGAGCCTGAACTATGGTACAAAAAAACCCAATTAAGACTGCCAACACATGCAATAAATACACTCATTACATTCATTACTATAGCAAAGAATAAAAACGTTTCTACAGAAATTTAAGGAAATTGGTAGAAAAAAGTTGGAGCAGTTCATAAAAGACATTTAGAGTTGATGCAAATATCTAAATATGCACATAATAAAATGATGCTCGATGTCTACCACCTCACCTGTAAGCTCTGTCGAGGAAGCATAGGACGACTGGAACCCGGCGATGTCATTCTCTGTAAAAAGAAAAGGTTCACTTATTAATTAAGTATATATATATATATATATATATATATATATATATATATATATAATAAAGACGATGTAAATAAATTTTGTAGGCATTTGAAGTTTGAAAGAAAGAGTGAAGAAATTATGAATTACATTGATATTCAACTTACAGATGCCGATGATAAAAGACTTTCTCGAGAATTGGCTCGAGTTGCTTTTCGAGCCGAAGGGCTGAGTGTCACCTTGGAAGTGGGCGCAAACAATCCATGTTTAGGCGGACAAACAAAATATCTGTAAGAAAAAATATGTTTATATATATATACACACACACACACACACACACACATATATATATATATATATATATATATATATATACATATGTACAATAGAATCTCGATTAACTGGACTAATTGTCAATAGATATCCGGATAATGGAAATTCCGGATAATCGAATGTAGTCCGGATAATAGCAAATCCGTATAACCGAGGTCCGGTATATATATATATATATAAAGAAAACGCGCTTTAAAGTTCTTATACTAACTCACCTATGGCCTTCAACACTTCCATCATTTTTTCCTAATGCTTCATCTAACTCCACTCCACACCATATTCCATTCGCAAATCTGAAATAAAATAAAATCAACTTTAAAAGTTTTCCAATTTAAGATAAATAAACTTATTTTTTAATTCTATATATTACTTGGTTTCTCCGTAAAATCTTAAAATGCCGACTTTGCTGCCAGTAGTACTTTGTACAATTACTCGTTCACCAATTTGCGGAGTTTCTGAAAAAACACTTTATTATTTATAAGGTACAATATTTTTTTATGAAAAACTAAAATATTCAGTATAAATAAAAATGTATCAATTAAATAAACAACTCACTGGAAGGCGATCTACTAGCTAAACTAGTCACACTAGGCGCAGGAGAAGCACGCTTGCTACTAGACATATTGAATGACATGCTTTGAGCATGGGATGTCATACTAATATTTGTTTCGTCTTCGTGAATTCGTCGAGTTGTGTGCTCATTATCTAAAAAATGACAATAAATTCATGATAGAATAATGCTTAGGGCCATGAATCCGTACAGGTCCAACATAAAGAAATAAAATATTATTATTACGCCATGTTAATCTTAACAAGTTAAACATTAATTATTCTTATTGATCATTCAAACGAAATTCAAATCATTTAAAAAGTATTTTACCCACCAGGTAATGGAGAATGTGTCAACCTCGTCAAACGTGCAAACACGCCTCGTCGGGGCGGACATTGAAAATACCTTACTCCAGACACACAGCCATCATTTTTACCTAATAAGGAATAGTCAGTCAGTATATATTAATGTACACTTTATTAAAATTGCATGTAATATTGTCTTAATTAAATTGTATTTCAATGTTATATTAATTAAAGTAGTATTTCATAATTTTAATATTGTATTAATTAAAATAGTATTTCATAATTTTAATATTGTATTAATTAAAATAGTAATTCATGTTATATAAATTTTATGCATTGACGCTATTTACAGCATTCTATCACAAACTCCAGAAACACGTGGTGTTTTATCGTTTCACCAAATTGTTTTGGCAGAAATTTTTATATAGTTGGATGTGAAATAAATGTTTTTTTGTGTCTGTTAGGATATGAGAAGTTGGATTAACGTATCTTATTTGTGACATTCAAAATTAGATAATTTTAACCGTTTGAGTGCTTGGGTTTACCTATGCATATCATATTAATCGCTATAGTGATGATTCGCACTCAAATGGTTAAAATAGTGTAGTTGCGCAAAAGCCTTGAACTTACAACTTATACATTCATACATGTAAAAAGTGTGTAAATACACAGATCTTTTAATCTACTTACCGTTGGCTTCATCTAAAACAATACCGGCCCAGTCCCCTGGTGCAAACTGCGTTTCTCCGATGTAGGCGATTTGTCCTGCACGTTTACCACCCACCCACACACGTTGCCCAATCATGAAGCTATCGGTATCACGTGTCAGGACAAGTGACTGGTCTATGGAATGAATAATCGACAATTAAGGTAAACTTTAAAATATGCATGTAATTAATTTTTACGAAAGAGTAATCGTCACCGACATGACAAATGTCAAAGGTAGCTCAGCTTACCATTTTATCCAACGTTATCAATATGCACTGAAATGTTGAAAACTAAGTTCGATAGTCGGTTTGATCATTTTCGGCATTTTATCAATTTTATATAAAAAGCATATTTTTAATATCTAAATGTAGAGTTTTCTGTTTTACACGGAGTATTTTTTACTATTTTTTCAAATTTCATAAAAAATATTAATATAAATATACAGAGAGTATAGATTTAAAATAATATGGGCACTTTTGATATATATGTATAAAATTAAGAAACAAGTAAGTAAACATAATCAAGATTTTTTATAGATTTTATAAAGCAGTAATTCCTTCTCATACGATATCAAGTTTGTACCAATTATGAGAGAAGTGTCCATGATCATAAATCTATATCTTAGAAACATATTTTTAATATAGAAAGATATATCACAAATGTATATTACCTGTGCTAGGCCTGGATCCATCAGTATCGCAACTATTAACTGTGCGGATATACATTTGAATACATAGTGCAAACAACATTAACATAACATCGTGCAACATTAAATTGAATGTTTGATTCAATTCATGAGTGAGTGAGCAGTGCATGGATATATATGAAAAAAAAAAATTAATGTGAATATAAAACACACACAAGAAACATATTTAATAAATTAAAATAAAATTAAGTAAAATTAATTACCAATATGATAATCATTCAATGAATCTTTTTATAAGGAATATACAAATTTAATTTATTCATTTAGTTGTCAAAATATTTTGAAATAAATTCATTCGAGTAGTTTTCAAAAAAAAATTTAATAATTGGCTATCAAAATTTATTCATCAAAATATAATCCAAATACGAAGCAATTATTTGCAATTATTTTATTCTGATAATACTTTAAGCGTATATATCATTTATTATCATCATCCTAGTAGTAATGTATTATATTATCTAGTAATTATTAAGAAGAAAAAAAACAAAGTGGAAAAAATTTAACGAAAATCTATAGATGTTTGTTCCCTATCCGAAAAACGGAATTTAATATTAAAATTTAATTAGTATTTTATTAAAAATAATCATATTAGACTTTTGATGTGCTTCAAAGCCATTTAAATTTATACAATAACAAGGCATTTAAGTTGCCACCCCCTTTCAAAATAATCTCTTATTGATATTAGAAATAAGGTAAAATTTGTTTTGGCAGAAAATTTTATTATTTTACTTACTCTGTGTATTTATTTCTAAAATTAAAATTGCTTTCTTTGTAAAAACCTTTACATGTATAGATCAAATATTTGAACTTATAGCATATAAAAAGCCATACTCACTAGACATTTTTCTTTGAATGCCAGACGGCGGTTTTGGATGTTTAAACAATTCTGTTTCTGCTTCACCGAAAGACTCTTCCGCAACGTCTATAAGTGGCACAAACAGCAAAAATACAAAATGTGCACAAACCAAACAAAAAATATTATTGAGATAAAACACTAATGCTGACATCAGTTGCTAACAAGAATAAACAGGCTGGTTAAAAATTTATATAAAACAAAAAACAAATAAAATACGTAGACAAATGACAAATACAATACGATCCAAAAGAAGGCAATAGTTACAAAACTATTCATCAATAATTTTATTAATCAAAACAGTTAATATTTTTATAGAGCATGCATGTAATGTGAATATATTTTAACCGTATAAAAAAGTAAGCAAATAATATTTAAAAAAAAAACGCATAAAAATCGGTACAAACCTGCAAGTGGGCCACGATATTCCTCCGCGGATGGCGATTTGTCTGAAAAAATTAAAAAAAAATTAGTATATCATCATTATAACATAACAAGGTGTTTATTTTAGACGATGGTGATATAAATGTTATTGTAATACGTTAAGACTTAAACGCAAATACCTTAACAATGTTATGTTTAATTTCCTACAGAATACTACAAAGCACTAATTATTTTAAAAATAATACAGATCTTCATTCAAGAACACATGACATGTGTTCAATGTCACATAGATGACTAATATATGCACATATAAGTCTATACGTATAATTAAAGAATTGTTAATATATCATAAACAATTAGTTTAAATGGGCATCAAAATAATAATTTATAATGAAGCAAAGCAATGTTACAGTCGTTTGAAGAAAAAATGCAGAGTCGTACAAAATCAAATAGTACAAATGCCCGTTTATGAAGGGTTAAGTTTTAATTAACTTTGTAGTTATGTAATAAATTACTTTTATAGAGTAGAAAAATACTTCAATTACGAATACAAATGATTGGTTTCATTCCCCGGATTCAATTTGCAGACTCGTAATTGATAAAAAAAGTTAATATCGTTCAACAATTTTTATATCTGTATTTTAGAACATAGTGTCTTCGTAAATGCTTTTAGAACACTTTTTAGATACAATCTCGATTTTAAGACAATCACATATATTTATTATACTGTTTAAAATATTGTTTCCAAACCGCGAACTTCCATAACACACCTTTATGTCAATCTCATATTCCCTACACACTAAAAGTATTGAAATATTTTCTAAAATAGAAGTATACGATTGCTGTCAAGTAAAACAAATCCAATTTAAATAATGATTTATTATATTATTTTCTAAATTGATTCACAATTGTAGCGCCACCCTTAACATATCAGAAAAGATATAGTAATCCGAATAATGTTTCTTGCATATTTTGTTTAAAAATTTAAGGTAGTAATCCCAAACTAGAAATTCAAATTATTTCAAAAAATTTTCTTTTTTTTTTAACTTACTTTAAGTTATTGGAATTGACAACAAAAAAATCGTGAACACCTCCAGGACGGTTGTTAGTTGTGACAGACATAAACATAGGTTAAAAAACAATAACTAGAAACGCCAAAACGGTTTATAAAGACGTTTATTGTCAGAAATATGTAACACAAAAAAAACATTTAAACCAAGCTTATGAATATAATATAACTAGCAAACCCGACGAACTCCGTTTCGCCACAATTTTTTGTTCGTTTTATATTTGAAAAGGAAAAATGTGATTTTATTATAAAACAGTAATGAATTTCTTTCGATTACAAAAATTAAGTGCTTTTTAGTTAAACTTCTCAAAATAAATAAAAGTGAATCCGCAAATTATCCGTTTTATTGAAGTGCTCTTTGCTAAACCACATTTTTTTTTTTTGGTCTGACGTTAACACAAACAAAACGGATTGATTTCCAACTCGTGAACAGGCAACGTATCACTGCCCATGTAAAAAACAATGATTTTCTAAATAATCTATTTGAAATTTATCCCGCAAACACTAAGCGATTGGCCTTGTTATTGCGAACGCACGGCGAACTGGAAATTGCAATCGTTTGAAGTCAAACGGAAGACCAGTCGGAATCATTGGTATGTCACCAAATCGCCAGCAATTTTTGATTGAAGGGTGAAATTCAGTGCGTGTACATCATTATTCTTTGCGGCAAGAATTGCTCTTTGACTTAACCAAGCAAAATTCTGATAATTCTCACTAATGTAATTACTCGAATTTTTAATAACGCTGCGTGAAGTTCCAGTAGCTTGCATTAAGGCACGATGCCATGCACCACTAATTTTCTTAGCTATAAACCTTGCGGAGCCCGAGACCTTTCCAACGAATGCAAAATTGTCAGAATCGTATTTCGTCAGGAACGAAAACCCGACTTATTTTTATATATATAGAAGATAATCTATTTGCAATTATTTAAAACAATTATCGATTATTTTTATTACTCGAATTTTTAATTACGGTGCGTGAAGTCCTAGCAATTTGCATTAGGGCACGATGCCATGCACCACTAATTTTCTTAGCTATAAACCTTGCGGAGCCCGAGACCTTTCCAAAGAATGCAAAATTGTCGAAATTGGTTCAGGAAGGAAAACCCGACTTATTTTTATATATATATAGAAGATAATATATAACAAAACATAACTTTTCAAACAAATCTTTATGAAATCTCTTTTTTCTTGTTACGCATTTTGTCTTATTGTTAGTTAAGTTTTTTTCTGTATCTGATTATTCTTCACCTGAAAAGGACAAGACCCACGACCACATGTCACAACCGTACCCAACGCACACTTTTGAAAACAAATCAGAGTTATGACTGACGCAAAAACTAATTGCTGGTAATTAGTTGTAACTGATTCCTTGCTAATTAACTACTAATGTTCAAATAATAAACAAAGTGATCTATCTGCATACAAGTAACAGTTATTATTAAAACACCTTCTAAGAACAAAAAAACTTTTATTAACTCTTTAAAAGCAATGTGATCTACAAATCATGTTAATGTAGGGCTGACTTAATGCAATTAAGAAACTTGTTCGAACGAACACATTTGATATTTGGATATTTCTCCCTTTGGACCCTATCTTAAAATCAGTATAGTTGTTATGGTGGCTGCCACTTCCGTACCCTGGCACAACCGTACCAAGTCTACCCTAATAAATTGTTTTGTTTTTTACGAAAATATAGAGAAGTATATCACAACCCGTAGAGAATCATCTTGCAATGATAACATGATGCCACGTAAAAGAAAGATTCTTAGATTATTTCTAAAAAAGAAAACTAGAATGTGGTAAATCATATGAACAACAGAAATAATATTTAGTCGATGACACGAGTTTCTATTACAATGTTGGCGATCGAATATAATTCCCATGATTTGAATTTGGCCGTAATGCTCCAGAGAAATAATATTGTACATATTTGTAAAACCTTATCGACTTTATAATTTGAAATCTGTAGTTTGCATTCGTACGATAAAATATATTTTTTTCGCTTTATTAAGCTATTTTCAATTCAATAAATAATTTTAAAACTTTGAAACGTATCTAAGTCGCCGTGATACTAAATGAAAGGTATGGAAAATTAAATTATATAGAAAATAGACAGTAGAAATATAATTAATTCACATGCATATCATATGCATAAAATAAAAAAATCTAAGCTTTATTTAAAAAAAAACAGTTTTGAGGCGATTAGAATAATAAATGAGTATCACAAAGTGCGTCTGGAAAATTGCATTATGAGGAGATGTCTATATTACAGTTACTTGTAAACCAAACATGATAATATATTTTAGTGATTCACATGATAATATATTTTATATTTATATATGAATATTTCTCGAACAATAAACTTCCACGATTTTTAAATTCAATGAAAAATATTTCGCATGAATATATTAATCCGCATAACAAATACGTGAATAACTACCAAATTATAAAAATGACGTAGGCTCATAAATAATACATATGATAATAAAATTGTAAATGTATTTTGTAAGACTACATATTTTGCTAAAATCTTCGCGTTAATTATGCCCACACAATATATTCCATCGTAGAGTAAATATTTTCTGCGTTGGCCGGGAAACCAAATAAAATGCTTCGAGCCCTATATAAGGCAGCTTGTTGGTCTAGAAACACTGCCTTCTCTCTAATACCAAAACAAACGCGAATATATAACTTATATATAATGTATAAAATTAATTTTCAATGCAAATACTAGTGTAAAGATGAAATGTTTGTATATATACATATATTCATAAATACATGCATGAATACATACATACTTGCATGTTACATATGCACTCCGTTTTTTATTTGAAAAGAAAAACGTCAAATGATCAGAGAATTTTGAAATATGCAGCAATAAAACAATTAATTGATTTTTTACATTTTAGTAACTTGCTCCCCTACAGAAGCTAATAATAAACTGTGCTGAAAACTAAAATCAACAATAATAATATAGATAGTTTTATCCCAGATTTTTAGATAACAGGCAATAATTAAAAAAATCGATCTAATTAATATCTTTTCAAAATAAATACAAACAAAAATGCTTTTAGGCACATTTTATCAAATTTAATAAAAACTATCGAAGTTCCGAAGTGTCCATTAATAAAACGGTTTTTATTATGTGCACTATTTAAAATTGTATACCTCCTTTGAACAAAATCAATAACGTAGTATATAACTATTAATAATTTTCAAAAATTTGCTATGCGTGTTACAAAGCTTAAAGGCCTTATTTTAGAGGTATTTAGTACCTCATTTTTCACAAGCATTATTAATGTTTTGTCACGATTTTTTGAAAAGCAATTCTAATTCATATATTATAAACTGAACAGAATCATTATATATGAACAGCACACGATTTGAATAATTAAATCATAACAATTGAATTTATATTTATTTGAGAATTAAATTACTTACATTTATAGCTTTTTAATAAACTAAAAGTAAAAGGCAATTGATAATCTTCGGACAACATCGTGTTAAATAATTTATCGTTTAATATAATAAAATAATATAAAATTATGATGCCAATAAAAACACTTGCTACTAGAATATTTTTTTAGATTTCTTTCCATGAAGTGATACGTAATATAATATAATAACAAATTGCACAACCAACTTAGAACGTTAGTGTATGAGAGACGGTTTATTACTGAACGTATATATGCAACATAATAAAATATTTTAGAATGTGGAATGGGAAATACATTATCAAACACTTCTTCATTCTTGGTTTAGTAGATATAATTATTATCACTTGAATTAATAAAATTTTCCGGGTTCTGCATTATTATTATAGCTTCAATTATAAAAAGAAGCAGAACGAGCTGAAAACTAAGGGCTTCCACACATTATTACGTAATTTTAAGATTTTAAAACATTTTTTATTATTTAAAAAAAAACTAGAATTTCATTTTGCTTTAAGACCAGCATCAAAAACACCTGATACGTATAATTGCCTTAATAAAAA